CGCTTGTGTCTGCATGAGTGAACACTGCACTTTGTAAACACAGGGTGTAAATAATGTGGTTTTGTAACTACAAATCAGTTACATACTAGATTCACAATTTAACAGTCATCCACCAGAAGAATGGAAAAAGCTTTTGAGAGCATCAGAGAAAACAGGGTGATGGAAGACCAGCTGTATTAGAACACAAAGCAAGGTTGGTTAGCTAGTTTACTTGGGAGAGCATGCAGCTGGTAACATTAAAGTCACAGGTTCATATCCCTGTATGGGCCACCCGATAGAAGAAAAAATAAAAAAATAAACAACAGAGCAGTAAGCAAACAGAACAGGAAAGTAATACAGAAACAAAAGTAGAAAGACACTGTGGTATTAAATTCCTGTGCAGAAAATAAAATAGTGTTTTACTCTTAGGTTCTATATATAATTACAGCTACTTAGGTACTGACACAGTAAAGTGTAGTTTGAAGAATGACAGAAAAATATAACAGGCAAAAATAAAACAGACTTGAATACGTTATACTTGAAATATCTGTTGGAATGTCCAAATAGCAATTGGATACATGATTCCAGAGTTCAAGAGAGAGATCTAAGCTGAAGATAAAGATTTGGAAATGTATTAATCCATTTCCATTTCTTAAACAAAATACCTGGAACTGGGTGATTTGTAGGAAAATGAAATTTACTGCTTGCAGATTTAAAAGCTGGAGAGTCACAAGTCCAGGGAACATAGCTGGTGAAGGCCTTGATGGAGATGACTGTGACCCAGGGGTATCACATGGCAGAAAACGGCAGGGCAGAGAGAGGCCAACCTCTCATGTGTTCTTCTTTTAAAGCCCTCAGAAACCCATCCTTGCCCACCATTATTAACTAATTATGGAATGGTGCTACAATCTAATCACATCATTCAGGCCCCATCTCTCAATTACCATAATAGGATTTCCCACCAACTTAACACTGTTACAGTGGGGGCCAAGTTTTGGGGGGACATTCAGTCCAAGGCAGGGAAAAATCAAAACTTCAATGTTACCTGAAGCCATCAGAATGAGTGAGCAAACCTAAGAGATTCCAAGTAAAAACAAAACAATACAAAAGAACAAGGACAGAGTCTGCAGAAGCACTTTATCTTTAAACATGAGATAGAGGAAAATAAACAGAATGTGAAGAACAAAAAGAAATTTTCTAATTTTATTACACAATTAAAGGAAAGCTCAGTATTAAGAAGTCTACCAATATAATTCATCATATATGATATACAAAACAGACTAAGTACAGAAATATATCCAACATATTCATAGTTCTATGAGCGAAGATCCTTTAAATAATTATATAGATTTTAAAAAGATATACGGCAGGCAGGCAACTGGCCAGGATAGGGATCAAACCGTGGTCCTTGAGAATATTGGCACCAAACTCTCACCAACTTGGTAGACTGAACACAGCTGAGAAAAAAAAAATCTCTGGGTTTGAGGATAGATCAAAGAAATTAAGAACTGAAAAGCATACACACACAAGAAAAACACACAGGAA